GTTGTAGTTTGAAAAAGACACATAGATGCAGAGAAATATACAAACATTCGCAGAGAGCCTAAATTTGCGACCGACCGCCATACTCTCACACGACCCCAGATCGGCATAGTTTTGCATGTAGGCTGCGAATACATAATTAAACAATAAGCTTTTATTGTCCACATTGCTGGCATTGCATTTTTATATAAGACTGCGCTTCACGATTTTAAAGGAAGCACTTCTCACATTTCGGCTTAACCATAAGTAGCCGGCTTACAAGCATGCTTTACCTTATGGTAAATCTCTAAATAAAAAAATAAATAAATAAATGCTATTCGCCTCGTATTTTCCACGGACAATGCAAGCGATATAATGAATTTGAATAGCAAGAGTGATGTCCTAAAACACTTACGTTCTTTATCATTCGCAAGCTTGTGGTCATCTGTCTCAAGAAAAAGACCCGAAAGTGCAGAAAAAGTGTAAAAATATATCAATGATGTCAATTATTGTTATTTATGGAGAGGCTGTCAAAGAATAATTGACAGTTGAAAAAACCATTACTGATGTTAGAGCTAACATTTATAGAAAATTCAACAAGATCTAAGTTTCTTTGTTCTTTATGGCGCCAGGAAAAGTTAGTTTTCATTAGGAGATCCAGACTGAGACGCTGGAGGTTGGCTATCGACTGGTGTTGTATTGCATGGTTGGTTTTTCACTTTCTTTGGTCTGGTTGGAAACATCTGGGTTATTCTAATCATCGCGGAAAGAAGAAGATTACAAACTACAACAAACTGGTTTATCCTTTCCCTGGCAATAGCCGATCTGGATATTACTTGTGGACATTTTCCGGCGTTCATGATTGGCAATGTACTTGTGGATACGTGCAAAAGTGATGTTCACTTAATATTCATTTCTTTGCAAATGTTTCTGTCACTTGCTTGACAGCCATGATTGGTGAACGCTATAGCGCTGTCGTCCGTCCGTTAAAACATGTCCGTTTTTTAACGACTACAGACATTCGCTATGATAGCAACTACATGGGCAATTCCATTTCCTTTTGTCATTTTCAAACTCATGGTCTATCCTCCCAACAGTAAAAATTTCGTAGCATTAAAACGTGTATTCTTTGCCACAGAGTGTTCTTTAGCAGCGTTACCAACAGTACTTCTTTTTGTGTTGCATATTCGTATCCTGTTAACTGCTTGGAAACTCTCTCGCGAGATGAAAGTTCCTTTTAAACAGGTTAGATTCAACTTACCGGCAAATTCGTTGAAATAATTGGAAATTAGAAATGTGGAATTAAAAACATCTACAGTGAGGTTGGTAACTGTACTTTTTGTTATATTTATGGCAAGTTATGGAATCCATTCAACACTCTGCTTTTACTTTAATCTTTGTGGTGATTCTACCAATGAAACAAAGGCACTTCAGTTGTTATTCTTAGCAAATTCTACTTTAAAACCTCTTGTGTGCGCGCTCCTTAAATAAGATATCAGGAAAGAATCAAAAGCTCTTATTTACTGCAGTAGAAGAGTAAACATACGTCCCTTCCAAGTTCATACAGATTAACAAGTTGAGAGAAGAATTCCTTGCAACAATACTGTCTGTAAATAGGTAATACTGAAACACGGCTGGTGAATTTCGTCCACTACGTCAAAAACCCTAACCCTAATTGTAGAACTGATGATCAGCGAAGATGAAGCACAAGACTACTGAATGATTTCCGTCTGTCAAACAACTGATGAGTTTCTTAGCTTTGTCGACAGGCAGGGACACCGCAACAGCTTGCGCCAATTACTGCGGGCCCAGTAAGCCCACCCATCCCAGCCCAGGGGAGAACATCCATCACACAGTAATCTCGTGCGTGGGAAATTAAAGTCTCCTACCTCTAACCCTGCAGGAGACAGGACCTCCATTTATTCGTCACTATCCGAGAAGACTAGAATATCTAACCATTTCTTGATGTTATAGAAAGGCAGCATATTCTTCTCAATTATCTCGACCGTTGCTGGAGATAATGTTCCTTCGGAAAGTCTACATGCTGTTAATGGAG